AAGCCCCAGTGGCTCCATATACCGTTTGCTCTGACCAGTAAACTTATACATGTTTTTAAAGAAAACAAATGTGTGGGAAAAAATGTTGTTTGTTTTTTGCCAAACCAAAATATTAATCTGCCCCGCTAGTGAAGTTTCTTGGCCGTGCCACTGACTGCAATTTCAAAAGTGTCATCTGTATTTTTCAGTTCTTCCATGTATAAAGAATCCAACAGCAGTTTCCTTCAAGGTTCAGTAAGTTTGAATGTTTAGGGGGCTGTAGCCACAAGATTTGGCAAACCATTCACTTGTCATGTTAATAAAAAAGGAATTGTTTCTGCCTCTTTAAGCTAGTATCTAAATGAAGGAGTTGGATCAACTGGATTTTAATCATAAAGTCCAGATTCCTCTTGCTTGCAAGTGAATAGCTTCATGGTGTTCAGGGTTTTCATCTGATTTAATTTTATTTAGAAAAAGAACTGAGCTTCTTCCATGTTACCAATTCTTGAATTTGCTTGCTTGTTATGCTGTTGAAACGTAATCGGTTATCTTGATCTTAAAAAGAAAATTGAGCCTTTCTGCGGTTTTTATTTCCCATAAGCAATTGAATTGAAAAGTAGGGTTCGTTTTGGGGTTTTTTTTAAACTCCTTAAGTTGTTTTTTTATAGATGGCATGTTAGCTTTGAGGGCTCTTTCATAACTGGTAAAAGCTTATACCCTGTAAATTCTATAGCTTTTAATGCATTTTGTTTTTCACTTCAAATACAGTAGCAAGAGAAGAAATAATAGAATATTTCATGGTCATGCTGTTTCAACAGTTCAGGTTCTTTTTACTTGGTGATGCTTATTCTGTGAATCCAAATGCTTGAGCTTAAAATTTGATTTCCTAAATTTCTTATCCTGAAAGTGTTGAAAGTTAGAACAAGCTAGCTATAATACAGAGTAAGAACTGTCTTGCTTACATGATTACTTTTCATCTAACACAGAGATTATAAGGAATTAGATCAGATAAATGATTATACTATCTGTGGAATGAGAAAACACAGGGTAGATAATATTTGTTCCTGAAAACAGCTTTTACCCGCTCTTTTTCTCATGATCTGTTTTAATGTTAAGAAAGTATCACCCCTGAGAAACCCTGAATAATGTTGGGTTGCAATGTAGAAATCTGCTGTAGAACACCGTAAATATCAGTGTATTTTAGCAAAAGGTCTTCTTGTTACTAATTACCCTCCTTCCCTGTATCTATCTGAAGAAAGACAGAACTTTGGGGTTTTTCTCCTTGCCTTCAGCTCTTGGGGTGATGGGGGAATCCAGGCACTCGCAAGAGGCCAAGTCGCATGTTGCTTCAGGAACGAAGAAAGCTAAAAGTACAATAATCAGATCTGTGTCTCTTATAAGTGAGTTTAGTTCACATGGAATGACTTTGGTCAGAAGTTTAGGGTCAGTATACCCACGGATTTGCTAAACTTGGCCATTGTTCCCTTCAAGGTTCCCACCAGATTTGCAATGAAAACCTTCAGGACAAGACGCTGGATGATATTTTGCCTGTCAAGTAGTTCTGTTGAAATAAAGAGAAATATTGAAATATGAAGGGCTGAAAATGAGCAAATGTGGTGGATAGAGAATACATCAAAAATGACCTGTGTGGGACTAATTCAGTGAGCCAAAGTAGAGTTTCCTCGTACCTTGCAGGTTTGAATTCAATGTGGTGCTTTGTAAACAATAAATCAATGCAAGTTGTTTCTGTGAGTGCATAAAAGGTGTGAGGACTGTAATTTATTTTATAATAAATACTTTTGCTGAGCAAACAGTGAATGTAGCTATTAGAGACTTTCTCAAATAAGTGATTTTAGACTGCTGAGTGCCAGCTACTGATGTGGTAGTTGAGCTTTTAAAATGAAAAGACTGAATTCCTTTTGAAGATTCTTCTGAATGCTGTTGACACTTGTGCTAGGAAAGAATATAGAGTAATTTAATTCATTACTTTACTTAAAGATAACGTTTATGGTTGCAACATTAACCTCCATTGGTGTGCAGACTGCTAGGCTGGAGATGTTTTGCTTGAATTTTTTTGGAGATGTTGCATCCTTTTATTAGGTGCGCGGAGACAGATTGTGTGTGGAAAAGCTAGGTAGAAAAAAATGTATGAGGGAAAGGGGAGTTCAGGATCAGTCAGCTGGTGTGTCTGGATACAAGGACAAAGGGACAATTTTGCCCTTGGCTACAGTTTGACACTTCTACTGGATTCAGTCAGAATTATCTGTGCGTGCTGAAGGGCAGAAATGTCATTTTTATGGCGTTCTATATCCTTGGTCGCCTTTTTTTTTGTAATTGGCTGCGTATACCAGTGCTGTAATAGAGCTCTTAAATCCTGACCCCAGCCGAAATGGCATACAAATACTGGTATTAATACTTCTGTCCATTTTAAATACAGGATTGTCCTGAGTCCTTCCACCTCATTTTTCAGGCACCGTCCTGTGTTTCAGCCTGTTTTACTGGCAGCCACGCACCTTTCTGCTGGCCCAGGGTGCTCCCCTGCTTTGCTGCTCTTGGTCCCATCTCCCCTTGGGCCCTTGGCCTTCGACATCCCTCCGAGGTTCCTTCTCTTGCTCTGCTGCATTCATCTGTTTCCCTACCCTTGGCTCCCTTTGCTTGTCTCTGTGACCTTTAAAGGTGGCTGAGGGTGCTTTGATGGGTCCAGACCCCTGCACATTTCTGCCCCTTCCCGCTCATCTCTTCTGCATCAGAGTCATCTTCTTTTCTCCAAAAAAGAAGTTCCCTTGGCTGAACTGAAAAACAACCCTCTGCTCCCAAAGCAGGGCGCTCTTCCTCTCCCAGTCCGAGGGTTTTGTGCTTCCAAGTCCTTTGCTTTTCTCAGGTTCTGCAGTTTTTCAGACCTTTGGCTGATACCTGGAACCCCCTCTTTGGGAGGAAAAGCAGGGATTTTATTGTTCTCCAAACCCTACAGAGAAGCAAGTGGAAACTGGATTTGCTTAAGCTGTAGCCAGTGTGTTGGGATGGGACATTCCCAGCTCTGATCTGGGAGACATGTGACATAATCCAGACATCATTTACTGGCTCCATAAAACCTGAGGCATTCACACATAAATTCAGCCTGAATGCATAAGCTTATATAAAGTGGATCCTTAAACTATCCTGGCTAAAAATATTTTTAAAATGCTGGGAAATGTTTTTATGTGTGTGTGTGCATTAGGATGCTCTCTTCCCTCTTATCTCTGTTACAGATACATAATGGGGTCATTTGCATGGTCTTAGGGACATCTTTTCAATGTGAAATACTGTCATTTCCCTAAGTGGGTTAACAAGTATTTTGGGGCTGGAGTCTAAAACAAAAGATGTTTCACAACTACGGAAGCTAAAGAGATCAAAAGTGTTATTGTAGGCTTATGTTAGCCTGTCCAGGTTAGTCTTCTGGCTACTCCCTGCACACTTTGAATCCTTATTTGCCCAAGGAGTGACTGTTCAATTCAGTAACTAATGTCTATTATTTATTATTAATTCCAAACATCGTGTACATGATTTCTTTCCAATGTAAGAGCACATTAGCTTCTCCTGCACAAAAAAACACATGTTAATCTGTTTTCCATTATTGTCCAAAAGATTTTTTCAAAAAGCAATTCATGTTGCCCCGACAACATTAAAGGCTGTAATTAAAAATAATTTTCCATTAATTTATATACATACACATTTACTTATTATGATCTTTTACGGTATTTCCCTAAGTGTGCACGCAGAAACCTAAAATGCTGTTGAAGAGTAAGTCAATATTCAGTGTAATGATCCAATCTCGAGTGTGCCAGTACCCTGATGTACTTCAATTAACCGTCCTTCCCAGCAAACACCTGCATAGAAAAATGGATCTTCCGTGGGATCAGCAGAAAAACAAACCCTGACTTTTCTGCATCGGCAGAGGAAGGGAATTCTAGTATTTCACAGCTTTTACTGATAATGATCTGCTACAGATTAAAAACAAAAAACAGACATTATGGTGTTGGCAGATTGCAAAAGGACTTGCTGGTTAAAGCTGCTGTTCATAGGAGATGAGGATAGTGTTTATTGCTTCCATATGGTCCAGAGATATAAGACAGGCAGAATGTCTGGGGAGAAGTAATATGTCTTATTATATTGATAGAGAACATACTTTTAGGTCTGTAGGCCCTTTTCCTGGTACCTTTCACAGGTGAGAGCATGAGTGTCCCATGGGCATATTTGCCCATGATTCAGCATGATGATAAAAAAAGATTGCTTAAGGATTGGATCCATTTGTGTGAGCAAAGTCTTAGAAATGCTGCGTTTTTTAAAGGGTCAGGGCTGGTAGCTGCCACCTAACACACGTATGGGAAGGATCTCTTTTTCCTTGACTATTTGTATAGTTTTCAACCCTTTGACTTTCCTGTTCGGCTTTGTAAAGTGCATTAAGAGCCTGAGTCTAAATTTAGAGCTTCATAAATTTGTGTCAAAAAACTCTTTTCTACATAATGTAAAATTCAATTTCTTGGTCTCTGACCTCATGATATGGGGTTTTTTTTTTTAGCCAAATTTAGAACCAAACTTCTAGGCACACTGAAACAGAAGAGTAACAGGCTACTTCTGTGTACGCGTATACAAGTAGTTGACTGACGAACTGTAATATTTGACTTCTCCATAATTATCACTTGTGAAGCACCTTTACATGTAGGAAAGATGACACTGCCCTTCTGCAGAAGGCTGCGGAGTAAGGTCTTCAAAGATCTAATGAATATGCTCAGATATCAATAGGCTTATTTCATTGCAAGAAGGGGACTGGCAAAGGAATTGGAGACCTGCAAACCAGTCCACAGAGCTGAAACCCAAGAGGATTTCACCGGTCAAAAGATCAGCTGATCAGTCTGTGTCCTTTAAAAAAAATATTGGAAATTGGTATTGTTTGTATGAATGTTGCAATTGTACTGTGCATGAACTCATATAGCAGGCATTCTTCATGTGATAACAGTACTTCTGCTCTCTTGTTCTCCCAGGGCTGATGAAATCGAGATGATCATGACAGACCTTGAAAGAGCAAATCAGGTATGATTTTAAGAGAGTCCCTCATAAAATTCTAAGTGTGACTTCGATTTTTTTTTTTTCCTTCTCTTTTGGATTTCGTGACAGTTCTTTTGTATGCACTTAGCAGTTGTAACTGTGTAGAATAAGAAAATACGCAAATTTAGAGAAAAATACAGCTCTTTAGGGATACTCTGTAAGGATTTTATGCACAGTAGAGTAGTGCTTGCCATATATTTACCTTCTAATAATTTAAACTTAAGTTTCTCACTGTAGTTATTCTTGGGTTTATGTTTCTAAATCCATCATGTTGGCCCCTATTTGGACATGTAGGTAACTGGTTTACCCAAAGTAAAGGGCCTCTGCCCTGCAGCACTGGCAGGGCTGCCAGCAGCCTGGCTTAGGGAGGCCTGACCTTCAGCTGCAGCTCCAGCTTTTGTGGCCTTCTCTGACCTTTTCTTTTTCCTTCCTTTTCTGATATGTTTTATTGGCGTATTAATTTTTAGCAAGGGTTGGATCAGACTGTGCCATGCAGGAGAACAAAGAAATTATGATTTGTTCCTGCAGATGCTAATTTGGCAGACTGTGAAATATTTCTCCCGCGTTCCCTCAGTGCACACACTCCTGAGAAAGTGGCACGATCATATGGAACTTTTTAGAATTAAAAAAAAAAAAAAAGGTTTCAAAAAAACCAAGCCCAACATTCAAGCAAAGTGCCAGTCTGTACTTGGAGTGACTGCTTGAGGTGATGAAGGAGATGTGTGTGGCCATGCAGGATTCACAGGTGATACATGCAATGGGTGATCGTTTCACAGAAGGAAACCTCAACTGGGCATTTGCTTATCAGTGAGTTTCATTAATCCCTCTGTCAGGTAAGATCAGAGATTACCGATCTTAAGTCTCTCAGGTTATGGTTTTATAATCCAGTTGAAGCTTACCTAAGAGCAGCTCGCTTCCAGGAAGACTGGTTGCATCCCCTTCCCCGCCACGCGGTCCTGCTGCACACCTCGTGCTGCCAGTGGTGGTGGTGAAGCCGCACCATGAGCCAGACCAGGGCACTGATCCTGTTGAAAACAAACCCCCCTCCACCTCCTGGTTTGTTTTGTCTTTTTCCTTTTGCTAGAACCACTTTCAGCCCCCACGCTCCCCTGGTGCAGCTGACAAGTATAGCAAGTATATTGTCCTTTACGTTAGTTCTTTATAAATGGGAAAATTATTAATGAAGCAGAAGGGAGATTTGTAAGTTGTTGGGTTGATTATTTAGTCAGTAAAAGAAAATCGGGGTTTGCACAGTGGGTTTTTAGTTCTGTCAAAGAACTTTTGTAGACAGCATTAAATATTTATGAAAGTGCTAGTAATTATTTGAAAATCTGTAGACCTTTTAGAAATGATGTAGGTGTTAAAGATGTTTCGGTTGAATTATTTTGTAAGTTTTTGCAAAGGCAGTACGTTTTGCAAAGTTGCAGCAATGATTTACCCAGTAGGTTTTTTCTTTTCTCAGAGTAGAAGGGTGGTTGTAGTTAAAGAACAGGTATTTCTGATTCCTTATTGCCATACCAAAATGGAATGTGTCTATTTATACAGGAATACTAAAGATATTTTCCTATCTAACTGGAAGAAGGGGGGGGGTGTTACTTCATTGGTCGGTTGGTTGGTTTTTTTAATTAGTTAACATTTTTAACTGCTTATGTGCATAACCCTTAGTTTGGTTGTAATTCAGCACACTCTGGATCTGTATGTAAACATCAGTGTGCAATTCCTCTGAGCTGTTGTAAAGCCAGAGCCTTTCCCCATTGCCCCCTCCTCTGCTTCCCCCTCCTGGCTGCTCTGGTCCTGTCCCCTCCCTAGCAGAAGCTTTTGCAATTGGGGGACCCTTCATTGAGTCCATTAGGCTCAGTAACTCCAGAAAAGCCTGAATTTGGGGTGAAGGGGTCAGGTTTGTTTTCTGTGGGTTTAGCAAATTGAGGCAGTTCAACAAAACATTGGAGAAGCAGCAGCACCGAGATGAGGGACGCGAGGGGAGCGCGTGGCCTTGGTGGAGACAGGGAAGGGAAAGTTCACTGGTGGAGGAGCAGGAGCAGCGGGCTGCCGAAGTAGCTCAGCTGATTTGCTGAAACATGCCCCTAGTCCTTGTCTTGTGTGGTGCTTTACCTTTATAAAACACTTCTATAAATTATAACTAAGTAATCTTTGTAGCAGCAATTCCTGTGTTTTACCTCTTTATAGTTGAAAAAAAAATTGGAAGAAATTAAATCCATTGCACAGGCCAGAAAGTGAGTTTGCATCAGGCTGAAGTGTTAAAATTGCAGAAACAAGTACTTAACATAATTATGTATTTAATAGTTAAATTAACATTTCCTTTTACCATTTCAGTAAGTACTTATTCCCCATTATGAAGGCTACCTTTAAAGAGTAGTGCTCAGCATGACTCCTACTTTGAGGATAGACTGCCTTGCTGATTTTGATGTGATGTTTTGCTGCTCTGGAATTGACACTGACCGAAACGACTGGGATTCGGAGCAGAAATTTACAGAACAGCAAAATGTTTTCTTTGAAAATGTGAAAAAATACTTTGCTGTAAATTTTTAAATATCTGACATTTCTTGAAAATCCCTTTCTCGGTTACTGCCCTTTTTAAATCCAGAGCTGGCATATCTGCACTTCCCTTGCTTTATGTAAGGACACCTCTCTGACTCTTGAGGAGCGGGGTGCCGCTTCCCTCTCCAGTTCTGCAGTAACAAGAGGGTGGATGTACTCATTGACGTTGATCCGGGTGTCCATATTCTGTGTGATGAAAGCCATGGGGACAGAGTTGATGTTGTAATTCCCACCCTCGCGTCCTGTTGGGTGAAGCATGGACCATTCCTAGTCTTCAGACTCCATCACCTCTCTTCTCCCACTGCTTTTTCCTCGAATTATTTCATGCAGGAGCGTTCTGGGCTTGTTTGTGTGCTATCGTTCCCAGAAGAAATTACTAGCTCATAGAAATAATTACCCCTAAATACCAGTGAGCTTTGCAATTTTCTGCTTAGAAAGAAAAAGGGGTAGTGACTGCAAAGCTCAGTTTCTCTCCGTTGTGTCATTAACTCAAGGTATAAACTGAATTTTGCTCCAAACCTTAACCCTAACCAATGGGAGAAATAAATGCCTCACTTGAGCGGAGCAAGCTGGGGCGGAGGGGTTTGGAGGCGGGTGCTGGAGGTAGCGATGTGGTGGCAGCAGGGCTGCTGGGATGACAGCCCTTTCTCAGCTGCTAATCCAGGCACTCAGTGCGGTTAATCCAAGAGCTTGAGTGGGGTTTTGCAGCAGGGCTAGTCTCATTCAGACTGACAAAACTCAGAGTAATCTAAGTACACCAGTTTACACCCTCTGTTAGGGTGAGGCAGGACCTGGCTGGGAGGTAGGTGTCGGTGGTGGCCTGCAGAGTAACCCTTCCACTTTAAAGTCTTGAGAGGTATAAACCAGTACAAAAAGGAAAAGAACAGTACATTAAAATGGCTGGTCTACCTACGCCTGCCTCAAGAGGAGCCATTAGCTCCATGACGTGTAGCTTTAGCAGGGGTGTAAAGTCTGAAGCCAATAGCCCCCGCTTGCTTTAGCAGTAAGAGGCGACTGCATCATCTGCAAGACAGCAGAAGAGCAGTGGGCAGCGGGGGTCTGTTATCCCTCTCTGTTTTTCTCCTCATCCCTGAGGTTGTATGACTTGTATGGCTTGGGTAAGTAAAGGGCTGAGGTCAAAATATAACTAAATGCAATAGGAATTGCTTATTTTCACTTTACTAACCTGCCAGCTCGATAACAAAAATAAGCCGAGAGTTCACCCTCGCATTTCCATGAAGATTTAATAATCCTGTAGTTTGGGGAAGGGACTCATTTTATTAAGATTTCATTTTGCACAGTAAATCACTGCATATTTTCTGATACGCTACGAAGTATAATAATAAATAATTAAAACTAAACTACCCTTACTTGTCAAAATAAATGATTTATCATAGTTTGGGATATAGCATCTTTGAATTTTTTATTGTTTGATTCCCAGAATATTACAATTTCCAATCAGTGAAGTTAATGAAGCTCTAGTGTACTTTTCCGCATTTGCAACAGTTACAGTTGCGTGAATGTATATTTTACACAAATATTTATGGTTAGCACTTTTCTGTACCATTTCAAGTTTACACCTTTCTTACAAGTGTTTATGGGAGTAAGTCACAAATCCTTGGGATGACAAATTTATTCAAATGAATTATCCTTCTGTTTCTATACTTCATCTAGCAACCTGGAATCACCCAGTTGTGCATGAGAAAAACTGAGGTTTCCATTGAAAAGAATAATTCCTATGTTGTGAAAACAGAAATACTTGGGAGTAAGTTTTAAAAAGAGAGAGAGAGAGAGGGGCTCATTTTAAGGTTTTACTAGTGAGTCTAAGTTTGTGGTTTCATGTCATTGAGGTATCCAGATCTGTTTACTGGCTTTATACATTCAGTTTACTATTTTTTTTTTTTTTAACAAAGTCTAATGGGCTTTGTAATTTGGGCTTCCTGAAAAAAAAAAAAAAAAGTGCTTTTTCACTTTTAAAAGAAAAAGAGAACTTCCGTTAGGGTTGGTTGATCCTGGGTTATTGTATTTTAATCTTGAGGAGGAGGAAATAGATTTGAAAAACACTCAGATATAGGTATCCTTAGATTTTGGGAGTAGTAACAGAAAGAGAACATAAGACAAGGGGTTTTTTGGTGGACTATACTGTGAAAGCTATAGATAAAGAATTTTTTTTTCTGCGGTGTCTATGCCATGTTATCCCTTTGGAAAAGCAAAATGTTTCCATTGGTTTTCTTTACATCTTCACAGTGCTGATTGTGCTTCCAGATTTCTACTTCTTATTTTTTCTGGGGAAAGTCAGTCAACTATAGAAATTTCTGTTACCAATAAAAGAAGAACAACTGTTCTTTCTAAAATACATAACCATTTACTAAAGATTCTAGACTGGATCGGTACCATTTATTCCACAGAAATGTGGTGTTAGAGAT